CATTCTAGCTATGGCAGCAGCCTCTCGCTCACTCTGTAGACCATGTTCCAACACTGGCACTTGAGCAGCAGCGCTCCAGCATCCCAACAGTGCGAGGCAGAATGATCTCACAAGCTGGGTCAGGCCCAATTTTTTTGTGTTGACTCCGCCTGGTCTGCCTCTGGATGAATGGACCGAGGGTGGTGAATGCCGGGGTGACGCATCGAGCTTGCGTGTTATGTTCTTCTCCCATCGCTTGAATTTTACAGCAGCTCCTTTTTCTGTGATTATCATGGTGTATGTACCGTGTGTGCCTTTGGTACTTCGTATGCTGTGACTATTGCGGTGTATGTAGCTTGTGTGCCTTCGCTACTTGCTCTGTTCTGCTCTCTCCCTGCCCCTGGATACCTCCTTGAACTTGAATAAGTCATACTTCGCGCTCTGCTTTAAAAAAAAAAAAAAAAAAAAAAAAAAAAAAAAAAAAAAAAAAAGGAAGGATACCTCCTTGAATGGCTGAGATTTCCCATCTGAACGGCCTTTAAAAAAAAAAAAAAAAAGTATATATATATAGATATATAGATACACATATATATGTGAGGCATAAGGCCCCGACGAGCCCCTTTTTGGCCCTGAAAGCAGCACTGTGTTGCCGCCCTAAGTGAAGGCAGGCCCCACCAAGGCCAAGAGGCCTATTTTTTTGGCTACCACGCAACTGGGGAAATTCAGGCAGTTGCGCAGCGCCAGTTGGTTGAAGAGCGCCCCAGGCCCTGGCTGCCTTCCTCGTACGTAACCGAGGCAGGCCCTGGGCCAGATACACAGCATGGGCCTAACACAGGCTGCGGGCAGTTGGACACAGGCAACCGTCACAGGCCCTGGGCCTGATTCGTTTGGACCGGGGCTCAGCCTTTCGGGGCTGGGCAGGTGCCCAGTGCAGCCAGGCCACACGCAGCAGGCAGGCCACTTCCATTTAGGAAAGTGCCTGCCCCGCATTTGACATTCGGACACTGGCTGCATGCTGCGCTAAACGCTGGCCAGCGCCCACGCGCTCACAGAGTCGCAGGCGAGCAGGAAGAGCAGGCAGCCAAAGCCGAGCTGCGATGCGCTATGCTGGACGGGGCGCATGGTGGTCCTTGGGTGCATGTGGCATCTGTGTGTGAGGGATCGAGGTTGTCAGTGATAAGAGAGACATACCTGGTGCTTGAGGCGAACGGCATTGGCCGAGATCTGCTCGTAGTTCGGGGAGCTGTTGACGTCACCAGCAGCATTGTAGATAGGCTAGATAGGATCTGCCATTTGTAGTCTGGGCGCAGAGCGGCAGATAGGAAGTCGACATTGGTTCATTGTTGATGAGACTATTCCAACATTGTCACTTGTGAGCTTTTGCTGTGCTCTTATTTGGTGGGACTCATGTTGCAATTCTGCTTTTGGTTCGAGGTCACGACTATCTGGTTACATGTGTATGATGTTGCTTGGTTTCTGGAATTCGCTATCGCTCATTTTCCTTGCATATATATATCATCAAACAGAGCTGCCCGGTACACCATAGGCAGAGAGGGAGAAGAGGACAAGAAACGAGGGGCTGTGACAAACTGTTTTGTCGGAATTTCACCAACTGACTCATCAGGAGGCTGAACCCTCAACAGTCTGCAGAATCCCCTAACTGATTAAACTGTAAGTGATAATCCACCTTAACCCCGGTTGTGCTTAAGCATCAACAACTGTCCAACAACTGATACCTTGAGGTGGGCACCAACCACTGCCCTCAAGGTACCCGTGAAAATATATATGTCGTCAAATATATATATTTTTTGCTGCCAGTGTGTGTGTGGACCCAGTGGGTCTAAGAAACTTCTGCAAACTGCACGGAGTCTTTTTTGGATTATCTGTGATCTGTGACCATGGTTGACTCCTGAGAAATTTTGACTCTTCGGGCATCGCTCCACTACTCACCAGATGTGCAAAATGGGAATGAATCTTCAGCTTGAAAATGGAAAGATACACGGCCTTATTTTTTGTCTTTTGTGCATGTGGAAAGTAGTGGAGCGAGGCCCTTTGACTCTGTTGCCCATTCAGCTTGAAAATGGAAAGATACACAGCCATATTTTTTGTCTTTTGTGAATGTGGAAAGTAGTGGAGCGAGGCCCTTTGACTCTGTTGCCCATGTTGGAAATAACAAGTAGAACAGGCCCACCCAAAAACCTATTGGGCTATTCACACCAAAGGTTTCTTTTTTTTTTTCTTTTTTTTGAAGGCCCAGGTTGTTGTAGAGGTTGGATGCTAGATATGGCCAAAGCAGACTTCCTCGGTACTCAGCCATTTGGTTACCCAGATGGATGGTACAGTCCCTGTATAAAAGATGTATCCTTTCACCGGAGAGTATCACGAGTATCATGTTTTGTGAACGGCAGATGCGTGTGATGGATGGGTCCTTTGTTTGGTGGTAAGTTCCTCAGTGCAATGTTCGCCAGGGCGTCTCAATCTTCTGAACCAAAACAAGAACAGGCAAAAAAAAAAAAAAAAAAAAAAACCTTAAAATTTGACCCCGAAACCCTAATTTCAGTTTTGGACTCGTTACCCAGCCCGTGTCCTGAGTTCATGTACAACGAGGAACCAGGTGTGTGTGAGTGGGACGTGCGCGACTCCGTAGCACAGATCGGACGGCCCTATCAATTTCCGATTGAAACTCGGTGTTCGGCTTTTGTAAACTCTGGGTTTGCGATTGTGGATACAGTCTTCCCCTTTACTCTGTTCTTGAGTCGATTGTGGTTCCATCGCCAAATGTTGCCCCTCATTGGCCGCATACTCTGTGCTCTGATTGCCGACGTGCACAACGACTACGGGCGAGAGGTTTGGACAACGTGCCACGTGAAGAGTCAGAAGTCACAGAGAGAGTTGTGCGATTGTGCCCCTCTGATTCCAATTGTGAACTCTGGAAGACACGTTGCCGAAGACTCGTCCATAACTAAGGCCCATCATACACGCCCACAACATTTAGACCGGGAAAGAGACGCCGCCGAGCATGGGGCGACGTGCAGCTGTACTTTTTGAATCAGATGCACATTGATTGTCGCGCCGAGTAAGTTCCTTGCTCTCGTTAGTCTAGCATAACCCTAACCCCACAGGAGATTCCAGCCCCGACCTGGACCTCGACACTCACGTTTTGCTAAAATCCTTGGCACACTCCCGTTGCATGCTTCTCAGACCCTTTCGGCATTTTTACTCACTTTGTGAAGGCAGGCATAGCAGGGCGTGAGGTTAGAGCGTCACACCTCACGCCCTCTGCAATCGATTAGTGACTGCAGCCCCTCAGTTTCTAATTGGGTCGGTTTCCCTCCCCGCCTACTACGGCGACCCTGTTGACCTTGTCATTATCGAGGGAGGCTGATCACATGATTGCATATTCAAACACCACTGCACGGCCGGACGATTTTCCGTCGTGGAACTGGAATGAGATGGTGGCAGAGAATTGCAGTTTGTGTTTCATTTGCCAGACCACGCGGTGAGGCCCTTAGACTGGGGCCATGCCCCACTGCGCTTGCGGAGTTCTTCTTTTTTTTTTTCGCAACGCTGCTCCAATCTATTGGTAGGGAGCTTCGCCTGCTGGAAAACGGGGCCAGCATCCTCAAAAAATGAACATGAATGCACTGGTGCAAGCAGTTTTGCATAACAGGACAGCATTGATTACCTTTTTGAACTGAAAAGGGAATCAATGGCCCCACTTAGGAACTACCAGTACGTTTCTGATACCGACCAAAAGCAAATCGATGGCCCCACTTAGGAACTACCAGCACATTTCTGATACCGACCAGGGGGATCAAGCTGACCATCTCAGCTGGTTGGCACCAAGCTTGCCCCAGGCGACCCTGGGCATTGAACCCACGACCTCGTGAATGCCAATTGCATGCCTAACCAGTTGAGCTACCTTCTTCCCCTTACTGTTGTATTTGGGGTATCTTTAAGCCCAACTACAGCTATAATGACCCTCCGTTGTATTTGGGGGAAGAAGGTAGGCCGCTGGATCTCAGATCGGATGGCAGGGATGTGACGCCCGTGTACTCGAAACCTCCTCCTCAAGAGGGGCACGGCCCCAGCACTCATTCATTTTTTTTCTTTCATTTTAAAAAACTACACTATGTTCTTCTCTCAAATTCTTTTTCCCCTTTCACTACCTTCCTACCACTACTCCTAAGACTATATAGAGGGGACCCCTGCAAGCATAGGGCCTCGCAAACGAGGTAATTCATGTTGCCCCCCGCCCCAACAGTGGTAGTCAGAGATGGGGTGTTTGTTGCCAGAGCCCCTCAAGAAGGCCTGGGCCGGTATATCAACCGGACTTGACCGGGGGCAGTTTTCAATTTGCACCCCGGCCGAGCCTTCGCCAGGCCTGTGTTTTTTTCCAAGCCTGGCTGGGGCCTGCTTTCTTTTTTTTTTTTTTTTTTTTTTTTTTTTTTTTTTTTTTTTTTTTTTTTTTTTTGTTTCTGGGCTGGGCCTGCTGGTTAGCAACAACTGGGAATTGGGCTT